AGGCGGTGAGCAAGATTGCGAAGGGCAAGTTTGCCAAGGCGGCAGTGTTCAAGGGCGCCAAGGAGAAGACTGCCACCCAGCTGACCAAGACTGACCTCATGAAGCTTGTCAGCGGTAGCTTTTCGTGCTTTTTTGGCGGCGGATCCATTATGGAGTCATATCCGTATCACAATCATTTTGCCACCGACGAGCTTCACATGTGTTTGCAATGGTTGTGAGTTCAGACAATTGATGCGCCAGGAAGAACAAGAGAGGCAAAGTGGTCTCGAAGAAGGCGAATGCGGCGGGCAAGAAGGCCTACAACAACATCTCTGCCTGGACCACCGCCGTGGTGAAGGCCAGGAAGGAGCTTGGCATCAAGGGCTTCTGCGCCGTGAACGGCAAGACGGCTCAGGGCAAGGCCCTCTATGCCAAAGCCAAGGCCATCTTTGCTGCATGATAGAGCCACAGTGGGCGGCTTGCGTGGTGGCATTCAGTCGGAGTGGACCTGCTGATGCTCGCTTGACGCTGACGCTGCTTGACACAGGCGGGCCGGCGTGTATAGCTGATTTTGCTGGCCCGGAACCTCGGACCTAGGAGGCAGTGCGACTGTACACATTTGGACATTGCCCGCTTCACCTAGTCCAAGATCCGAAAACAAGAGTTTGGTTTGCAAAGGTTTGCAGAGGATGCCCGGGATGCTTGCAGACGGACTAGCTTAATGATTGCAAACTGCAGCATGTTTCCGTTACCCCGAGTCTCAGCTGGTATCTAGGGGTCGTTGGGCTGTGGTTGGTTGATGGTTGGGCTTCAGTGCAGAAAGTACAGAGGGTAGAGGGCCCATGCGCGATTGCCGGTTGCTTTTCGAACCTCAAGCTTGCCCGCGATCGTTGCAGTGCCTTGTTCTGTTGCCTTAGTCTTACCGACGCACGATGGCCCTCCCTATGAAGTCTGCCATGAAGTCCGTGATGAAGTCGGCTAAGTCCATGAAGAAGGCCACCAAACCGTCCATGAAGGCCAAGGTCATGAAGAAGAAGGCGGTGAGCAAGATTGCGAAGGGCAAGTTTGCCAAGGCGGCAGTGTTCAAGGGCGCCAAGGAGAAGACGGCCACCCAGCTGACCAAGACTGACCTCATGAAGCTTGTCAGCGGTAGCTTTTCGCACTTTCTTTTTGGCGGCGGATCCATTATGGAGTCATATCCGTATCACATTTGTCATTTTGCCACCGACCAGCTTCACATGTGTTTGCAATGGTTGTGAGTTCAGACAACTGATGCGCCAGGAAGAACAAGAGAGGCAAAGTGGTCTCGAAGAAGGCGAATGCGGCGGGCAAGAAGGCCTACAACAACATCTCTGCCTGGACCACCGCCGTGGTGAAGGCCAGGAAGGAGCTTGGCATCAAGGGCTTCTGCGCCGTGAACGGCAAGACGGCTCAGGGCAAGGCCCTCTATGCCAAAGCCAAGGCCATCTTTGCTGCATGAGAAGAGATGGAGGCAGTGCCAACTGGGAAGAGTCAGAGAAGCATGGCGGTTTGCTTGCGTGGTCATTCACGGAGTGGACCTGCTGATGCTCGCTTGACGCTTGACGCTGCTGCTTGACACAGCCGGGCCCGGCGTGTATAGCTGATTTTGCTGGCCCGGAACCTCGGACCTAGGAGGCAGTGCGACTGTACACATTTGGACATTGCCCGCTTCACCTAGTCCAAGATCCGAAAACAAGAGTTTGGTTTGCAAAGGTTTGCAGAGGATGCCCGGGATGCTTGCAGACGGACTAGCTTGATGATTGCAAACTGCAGCATGTTTCCGTTACCCCGAGTCTCAGCTGGTATCTAGGGGTCGTTGGGCTGTGGTTGGTTGATGGTTGGGCTTCAGTGCAGAAAGTACAGAGGGTAGAGGGCCCATGCACGATTGCCGGTTGCTTTTCGAACCTCAAGCTTGCCCGCGACCGTTGCAGTGCCTTGTTCTGTTGCCTTAGTCTTACCGACGCACGATGGCCCTCCCTATGAAGTCTGCCATGAAGTCCGTGATGAAGTCGGCTAAGTCCATGAAGAAGGCCACCAAACCGTCCATGAAGGCCAAGGTCATGAAGAAGAAGGCGGTGAGCAAGATTGCGAAGGGCAAGTTTGCCAAGGCGGCAGTGTTCAAGGGCGCCAAGGAGAAGACGGCCACCCAGCTGACCAAGACTGACCTCATGAAGCTTGTCAGCGGTAGCTTTTCGTGCTTTTTTGGCGGCGGATCCATTATGGAGTCATGTTTGTATCACATTTGTCATTTTGCCACCGACCAGCTTCACATGTGTTTGCAATGGTTGTGAGTTCAGACAATTGATGCGCCAGGAAGAACAAGAGAGGCAAAGTGGTCTCGAAGAAGGCGAATGCGGCGGGCAAGAAGGCCTACAACAACATCTCTGCCTGGACCACCGCCGTGGTGAAGGCCAGGAAGGAGCTTGGCATCAAGGGCTTCTGCGCCGTGAACGGCAAGACGGCTCAGGGCAAGGCCCTCTATGCCAAAGCCAAGGCCATCTTTGCTGCATGAGAAGAGATGGAGGCAGTGCCAACTGGGAAGAGTCAGAGAAGCATGGCGGTTTGCTTGCGTGGTCATTCACGGAGTGGACCTGCTGATGCTCGCTTGACGCTTGACGCTGCTGCTTGACACAGCCGGGCCCGGCGTGTATAGCTGATTTTGCTGGCCCGGAACCTCGGACCTAGGGGGCAGTGCGACTGTACACATTTGGACATTGCCCGCTTCACCTAGTCCAAGATCCGAAAACAAGAGTTTGGTTTGCAAAGGTTTGCAGAGGATGCCCGGGATGCTTGCAGACGGACTAGCTTGATGATTGCAAACTGCAGCATGTTTCCGTTACCCCGAGTCTCAGCTGGTATCTAGGGGTCGTTGGGCTGTGGTTGGTTGATGGTTGGGCTTCAGTGCAGAAAGTACAGAGGGTAGAGGGCCCATGCGCGATTGCCGGTTGCTGTTCGAACCTCAAGCTTGCCCGCGACCGTTGCAGTGCCTTGTTCTGTTGCCTTAGTCTTACCGACGCACGATGGCCCTCCCTATGAAGTCTGCCATGAAGTCCGTGATGAAGTCGGCTAAGTCCATGAAGAAGGCCACCAAACCGTCCATGAAGGCCAAGGTCATGAAGAAGAAGGCGGTGAGCAAGATTGCGAAGGGCAAGTTTGCCAAGGCGGCAGTGTTCAAGGGCGCCAAGGAGAAGACTGCCACCCAGCTGACCAAGACTGACCTCATGAAGCTTGTCAGCGGTAGCTTTTCGTGCTTTTTTGGCGGCGGATCCATTATGGAGTCATATCCGTATCACAATCATTTTGCCACCGACGAGCTTCACATGTGTTTGCAATGGTTGTGAGTTCAGACAATTGATGCGCCAGGAAGAACAAGAGAGGCAAAGTGGTCTCGAAGAAGGCGAATGCGGCGGGCAAGAAGGCCTACAACAACATCTCTGCCTGGACCACCGCCGTGGTGAAGGCCAGGAAGGAGCTTGGCATCAAGGGCTTCTGCGCCGTGAACGGCAAGACGGCTCAGGGCAAGGCCCTCTATGCCAAAGCCAAGGCCATCTTTGCTGCATGAGAAGAGATGGAGGCAGTGCCAACTGGGAAGAGTCAGAGAAGCATGGCGGTTTGCTTGCGTGGTCATTCACGGAGTGGACCTGCTGATGCTCGCTTGACGCTTGACGCTGCTGCTTGACACAGCCGGGCCCGGCGTGTATAGCTGATTTTGCTGGCCCGGAACCTCGGACCTAGGGGGCAGTGCGACTGTACACATTTGGACATTGCCCGCTTCACCTAGTCCAAGATCCGAAAACAAGAGTTTGGTTTGCAAAGGTTTGCAGAGGATGCCCGGGATGCTTGCAGACGGACTAGCTTAATGATTGCAAACTGCAGCATGTTTCCGTTACCCCGAGTCTCAGCTGGTATCTAGGGGTCGTTGGGCTGTGGTTGGTTGATGGTTGGGCTTCAGTGCAGAAAGTACAGAGGGTAGAGGGCCCATGCTCCATTGCCGGTTGCTGTTCGAACCTCAAGCTTGCCCGCGACCGTTGCAGTGCCTTGTTCTGTTGCCTTAGTCTTACCGACGCACGATGGCCCTCCCTATGAAGTCTGCCATGAAGTCCGTGATGAAGTCGGCTAAGTCCATGAAGAAGGCCACCAAACCGTCCATGAAGGCCAAGGTCATGAAGAAGAAGGCGGTGAGCAAGATTGCGAAGGGCAAGTTTGCCAAGGCGGCAGTGTTCAAGGGCGCCAAGGAGAAGACTGCCACCCAGCTGACCAAGACTGACCTCATGAAGCTTGTCAGCGGTAGCATTTCGTGCTTTTTTTTTGGCGGCGGATCCATTATGGAGTCATATCCGTGTCACATTTGTCATGTTGCCACCGACGAGCTTCACATGTGTTTGCAATGGTTGTGAGTTCAGACAACTGATGCGCCAGGAAGAACAAGAGAGGCAAAGTGGTCTCGAAGAAGGCGAATGCGGCGGGCAAGAAGGCCTACAACAACATCTCTGCCTGGACCACCGCCGTGGTGAAGGCCAGGAAGGAGCTTGGCATCAAGGGCTTCTGCGCCGTGAACGGCAAGACGGCTCAGGGCAAGGCCCTCTATGCCAAAGCCAAGGCCATCTGTGCTGCATGAGAAGAGATGGAGGCAGTGCCAACTGGGAAGAGTCAGAGAAGCATGGCGGTTTGCTTGCGTGGTCATTCACGGAGTGGACCTGCTGATGCTCGCTTGACGCTTGACGCTGCTGCTTGACACAGCCGGGCCCGGCGTGTATAGCTGATTTTGCTGGCCCGGAACCTCGGACCTAGGGGGCAGTGCGACTGTACACATTTGGACATTGCCCGCTTCACCTAGTCCAAGATCCGAAAACAAGAGTTTGGTTTGCAAAGGTTTGCAGAGGATGCCCGGGATGCTTGCAGACGTGCTTTTTGGTCCAAATTCAATCAAACAAGAGCTTTGATTCATGCCGGTGTTGATTCCTCGCTGCATCTTTTTTTCTGTCCGATGTTCGGGCCAGGAGCAGTGCTCCAGAACGGACATCACGGGGAGCTACTGCAACAAAGGTGTGCCTGGCCAGGTTTTCTGCAATCGCCTCATGCCTTGTACGCGTGGCTCAGTCAGTTGCCAAGAGACCCAGTCGCAGTGCTCACATATGTTACCGTCCATTGCTCACCGAAGCCGCAGCGCGAAAACATGCCTGGTGTAAGCAGATTGCTCCTGCAGCTTCCTGCAGACAGGCGCGGGTTGCTGCGCCGTTCTGAAGAAGGAGAACAGGCGGGGCAGTGCCGAACTTACCATTCGTTGGCCAGCTCAGGAAGGGCAATGAAAAGAAGTCCTCAGTCCTATTCAGTGGGTGAGGCAACCAGCTGGGAGTCCTTCTTGGCGAGCCCAAAAGACATTGGGCCCATGCTATGTTTGTAGAAGGAAAAGTACATGAGGCATCTGAAATGTGTTTTCATGGATGAAGCTCCTCAATAAGATGCTTGGGCACACATTTACGTTTCCATTACTGCAAAACAAAGAACACTGGACACAGCACACTTAAACTGTTTAACCCAACAACCTAGGTCCACGGGGGAGGGGGGGGGGGTATTCAAAGCCGTATATAATATACATAATAAATGTATATATTTTAAAATATATATTATGTATAGATATTATACATATATATACACATGCACATGTTTTGTGGCTCCGGAGTCCGCCCCCCCCGGAGTTTTATTTTTTTTTGGCGCCAGGAATTGCTACCGGGCGCAGTGCTTCGAGACCGCCCGACTGCCTGCCGGCCGCGTTTGTTTGACGGGTTGACTTGGGTATCTTGGCGGTTCCCAGCCATCCACTTTTTGTTTGAACGGCGGCTAGGAGGAACTCCTGCGTGTTTTTTTGTTGTTGGTGTAGTGGGTTGGGTTTCCATGTAACCCACTAAGAGTTAAACTTTTCGCAGGGGATCTGAGGACAGCCAAGGTAGGTGTGTGTGTGTGTGTGCTGTTTCCCCCCAGCAGCATTCAGCTATGGATTTGGTCGAAAAGCCCAGACATCGGCTTGTTCGGGGTGGTTTGGGGCAGCTTTCAGGGTTCCGGGGCTGTTAGGGGCTGCCTGGGCGTATGTTGGTACCGAGTACCCTTTTCAGGTTGGTTCAAAAGAAACCAAAAAGGAAAACCGAAGCCTTTTTGGGGTCCCCTTATCTTGACCGCCACTTGTTGATGGTTCAGATGACGTTTGATACCAAATATGCGAAACGGGAACGTATCCTGCAATTCACCAGCAAAAGAAATGGGTCTTAGAGAGAAGTCACCATGGTGGGTCCAGCTAGTTGGGAATGAGAGATCCTTTGAGCCTCTCAAGCCGAATGTTTTCCAAGGGCAGGTCAAAAATTGCGAGGGGAAGAAGTGCTGCCTGGGGGACGGAACAAGTGTGTGCGGTTTTCAAAGGGACGTTTAGGCTTCCCACTGATCGACTGAGCTCATCATTTAGCAGTTTTCAGACTTTCTGGAGTGCGTTTTGAGTCGCCACCTACGAAAGGTGACCAGGCTTGACTTTGATGGTCAAATGTTTATGGGACCGCAGGTTGTAGTCCAAGTTTCCATTTACCAGGGTTCCATTTTGGGAACATTTTTTTGACCCACAGCAGCCAAATGATGGTCCCTCCAAGCTGACGTCAGGTTGGCCTCCTCCCTGGGGCTGGAAGAGGGTAGCTGGCCAGGGCCGCCAAGTCGCGAAGATGCGAAGACGCAAAGCCCTTGGAACCATAACCAAGAAGTAAGGACATTTACTTGCAGGGTGAAAAAGCACACACAGATTTCCATTCGGATGTGGCCATCCCCTTTGCCCGGGGAAATATTTTTGTTTTGTGTTGCGCCGGCTTCGTAGCGGCTTGCGGGCAAGACTTGGGATAGACGGATGCCGCGGGAGCCGCGGGAGCGGGAGTGAGGTCCATCGGCTTCCAGAGCCGGCTCACCCTGCGCGGCACCATCGAGCTGGAGCCCCCAGCGGGCTGAAAGGGGCCAGCTGATCTCGCAGGGATCTACAGAATCTACACCCAAACTGCCTTGAGCCATGAAAACCCGGGTTAATAGTCCCAGAGGAAGGTTAATAGTTAATAGTCCCAACCGGAAATGGATGACGAGGTTTTGCCTGGCTGATTGGCTCAACTTTGGGATTGGGTTTGTTCCAGGCCCGAGCTGCTAAAGGCGGTGGCACACTGTGTGCATAATGTGGATTTTCGCAAACACACTGATCGGGTGATCCATCGAATTGGACGTTGACAGCGACGACACGGTAGATGCTGTGTGCAAGATCAAAACGGGTCCTAGACTAGACATGATCAGTACCTTCGCAGGCCGAGGTTCCTTTGGAAGCTCTCCAGGCTAAGCCAAAGCTTCGCGGTGCCTGTTCCTCCCACTTCCCGTCCTCGCAAAGCAAATATGGCCCTGACTCTTCCACGGTGGAGGTGCAAATGAGCTCTGACCATGTGCCCATGCGGTCATCTTCGCCTTTGCCATGATTGCTCCGGAGAAGCTATTTAGAGATGCCGGCTTTGCATGCAACACGACAAGAGAATGCCCCAAGTGTCCCTCAGCTCCAAGGCTCAACGATGATAAACTTTGCCGGTAACAAAAGGCACAGAGTGCAGACAGACAGGTGGGGAGACAATCGGATCGCATGCGTTGTTTCTTCATGGAGAGTGTCACGACACGTTCTGTTGACTCGAGCAATTGCCTGGGAATTTGAGAGGGTTGCTTGACTAAGGTGGATCAAACCCTACACAGACGAGGCGGGCTATGGCCCTTTTCAGCGCGCGTTGGTCTCGAGTGGCCCGAAGGGTCTGAGGAAGGCTTGCCAGTTTACTTTGCGTACTTTATGCCCTGCTCAAGCACCCTCACCAACATGTTTTCATGCTTTTGGGTCTGCCTCAAAATAGGGACTTCCTTTGGCTGTTCAGGAAACCAACAGGAAACTAACCGTGCGGGGCAGTCCAAGCCCGAAGCGCACCAGAGCCCTTCGCGTCGAGGCGTTCGTGGACCTCGCGAAGCGGGGAGTGTCGGGAGCTGAGGTTCGCACAGCTTGCAAGACCGGCTTTGGTCCGAAGTGGTCAACAGCCTGGTTCAACATCACATGGCTGTGGGTCAAAACCAATGGTGCCATTTTGGGGTAGGTGACTTCACCACCCAAGAACCTATTTTAGTGTGGATTGGGATGTTCACTGGGGGTACGATTCGGATTTTGACCCACAGCCACATGTTGGTCGCCAATGGACACCAAACGAGCTCCGACAAAGAGGTTTGCGGGTCACCTGCTCATTGGCATGTGCAAGAAACTGGCAGGGCTTGGAGCGTAGGGCCTTGCCCAGAGGTTCAAGAGGAAAGGGCTCGTTTCTCCTGAGGAGGAAGCTGGCCATCGTGGCGCCGTCCTTCACCGCCGACTGTGTGGAGACGCTGGAGGACTTGTTTTTTCTCCTTTTTGTTTCTTCTTTTTTTGTTTTTCCTTTTTTCTGACTTTTTTTTTTCTGACGGCTGCTCCACTCAGAAAAATAATGACCTTCGCTTTGGGGTGGGGCTTGTTTTTTTTTTGACTGGGTTTCAAGGGTGGTCTGCAGCTGTGGGAAGTTTCACTGGCTTCCCAAATGGAGTAGCGCTCTCAACCCCGAGGAGAGGTCTAGTAAAAGCTCAGATATTGCAAGCGGAGAAGCAGGAGCCCACAAATTCGTTCCGAGGCTTGTGGCTGGCAACTTTGCAACACCGTGCCCCTTCAAGTCGAAATTCCTGTCAGGGTGCATGAAGTCCCTGGACGGAACATTGGGAGCTTGTAGGCTTGGATGACAAGGGATGCTCAGATGAGTGTTGCAAGGTCAGGTGGGAGGAGGCAGTTGTGCGCGCAAAGAAACGATTGATGGCGGAAGGATTGTGGATCCTTTGGAACCTGAAATGGTAGATGCTCAGATGCAGGCAAGGTTTCAAATGGGTCTTTTTTGAAGATACTCGGCTTGATTGTGGCTTTAAAGCCAAAAGGAGAACCTTTTGGCCTTGTTTGGGGGTTCTTGAAAAAAGAGACCCAAATGGCTGTGGGTCAAAACCAATGGTACGGTGCACCACCCACTTTAGTCTATTTTAGTGGTTGGATTGGGATGTTCACTGGGGGTACGATTTGGCTTTTGACCCATGGCCATGGGTGAAGACTCTGAGCCCAGAGAAGGGTCTCCCTCTTGGACTCCAGGAGTTGGGCATCACCGGCCGGGAGGAGTTTGAGGAGGCAGGCGGGGAGGAGCTGGCGTGGATGCTCAGAACGACAGATGGGGGGGTGCTTCCGCGAGAAGAAGTTTGGTTCCTGTGGATGGGTTACTCCACTTTGGGGTATGCCCGCAGTATTGGCTGAAAAAGGGCAGTTCCCTGTCAGCCTCCGCCAGATGGCGACAAACACAAGGATGTCCTATCAAGCTTTGCTGGAGAGTCGAGCAACATCCACGGGTTGCCCATGACGCAAGGAAATGTGGGCAGAATCAACAAGAAGGTTGGGAGGGCCTTCTGGCAGGAGCTTTTCAGTTTGCAGGGCAGTTCCCCTGATGTCAGCCTCAGCCAGATGGCAACATATGGCAACTAGCTTCATAGAACCTCACACAGGTTTTAGGCTCTCGTTACTTCTGACAAAAGCGCTGCCTACCCAGCAACAGCCTGGAAGTTAGACTTAACAGACCCGTATTCCTCCATGTGTTCCTTTTGACAAGACACCGGCAGCCAAGAACCTGCCACCTATGCAAAGTTCAGGCCAGATGCATGTCGACCGTTTTTCGTGTGATGTTAAGCTGCCGCATTCCCAGCTCATGTTCAGCACTGATGTTGCAGACTGTGAGCACCGGGTGAGGGAGCCTTGGAAATTGCGTGGCTGTTGGCCGGCAAATGCTGAGTAGACTCAGCCTGGAAGCAATCCGCTGAGGTGGTGATTCCATGCCTGAACAGCAGCACCGACTGGGCCGGGACACCAAGCCACAGCTGGCATGTTTTTTGTCAAGTGTTGCCGCTCTGGCCTTTGCTCGGGCCAGCGTTTGAAGCATCGAAGTCTGAGGTGAAGAGCCTAGCGCACATCGTTACTGAACACATTGCCGAGACTGTGCCGGCCTTGTGAAATGTGCCACAAAAAGAGATGCGCTGGCGCGCGAGCTTGCTCCCCTCAAGATGTGCCTTTGGGTTGGGAGTGCCCGGCCCTGTTAAGCAAATGATCGCTCATGTTCAGCCGATCAATCGCTTCCATGACTCATGACAGTTCAAAGGTCGCGGATTTCCGGCGGCCATCTTCCCCCGGCAAATTCGAGGCTTTGGATGTCTCGGTTTGCATGTCCCACCTGACGTGCCTTTCTGCTTCGGCTGCAGGTAGAAAAAGGAGCCCAATGGGCCACAGGTGGCGGTGCCAAAGCCCTCACGTAAGCATCAACCAGCCCATAAGCTCAGACGCGATATCTCCATACGGACGCCAAAGAGGAACAGAGAAGGGGTTCACACTTTGCATTGCAGCTCTCGGCAATGGCGGAGGCTGAGGCACGCTGCATGAGTTGAGTTGGAGTTGGGGCAGGCTTCCTCATATTGCCCCTTTCGAAACCATTGCCTTTGGGGGGCCAATTCAAATCGAGCTTGATGATTTTGAAGGGTGAATCTAAGGATCCCTGCTGGTCCCGGACAAAATCAAAATGGGGGGGACTCAAGTCCAAAAGTAAGGGACAATTTTATTCGCCCCCTTTCCCTTGTCGGTCATTGGGGTGTGAACAAAAATAGGGATCCCACAATGGATTTTTTGTTTTTAGTTTCCCTTTCAACCCACCCAAGAATATGTCATTTTGAGCACTCCTTTGGAGAGTGCATGTTTTGAGGGTGCTTTCGCACAATGGCGCGACCTGCCTTTTTTCTTTGCTACAAATTGTGTCCGTGATTGAAAGTATTCACTGGGGGTACGATTTGGCTTTTGACCCATTGCCAAATGACGGTGAAAACTCTGAGCCCAGAAAGGTCTCCCTCTTGGATTCGCAACGGAAGTCCGTTTTGCGAACTGTTTCAGGTGGCTCCGGAGCCGCCGGCGCCGCCGGCTGCGCCGGAGGAGGCAACGCAGCTGGCGGAGGCGCCAGAGGCGGCGGTCCGACACCAGGCGGTTTGGGCACTGGGGAAGGACGGGGGAAGGACGGGGGAAGGACGGGGGAAGGACGGGAGGTGGGAGGGTCATACAGAGTGAAGTTTACAAGCTGAAAATACAAGTAGCTGCAAGTTGTGTTTTTGGTTGTTTGAAGAAATCTCATAGGTGTTCTGTCAGTTTTAGTAGAATCCATCAAATGTGCGAAAAGGTATGTGGGGAGGGAGGATTGGCCCCAAGGGCCACCATTTCGAGAATCGGCAGATTCGCTAATTTGAAGGTGATTTCCTAAGGACCCAGCCTAGTGGAATTCCCGGGTCTAAACCATAGCTGATTGATTTGGAGTTCTCATGGGGCGCTTCACTTTGTCACAGGCAGTTGCTGGCCCTGCCAGCTAACATGTGTCAAACGCAAGAAAGCTCTTTAAGTCTTCCTAGGAGAAAGTATGGCACACTTCCACCTGAGCTGATCGGGTGTTGGCCAAAGTGCAAGCAGACGAGTGTCGCAGGCCTGGAACAAATCTGTCTGAGCTCTGCAGGCAGAAGAGACTGCTGTGGCGTTTCCATCCGATGAGGCGCGGGAAGAGAGGGGAGCTCCAACTGTCAAACAATCGGCCATGGATGACCGCTCAGATTTCCATGCTTTCTATACACATAGATAGATATTAGTATACAGCACAAACAGGCTTGAGAGTACGGCAGCCACAAAGGGGGGTGGAGATTGACTATCCTTGAAGTGAGACGTTTGCTTAAGCTTGGCACACCAGCCGCGAGAGCAATCACAAGCAGCAGAAGCTAATCATCAACAACACGCGTTTTCGCGGTCATTTGTGGCCTGCTGCTGCGGTGTACGCGTACACACAGCAACTGTGCGTTGCTGTTTATGTAGGCCATTGTGCAGCTGCCAATGTTCTTGATGGCTTCCCTGAGAGGGCGCTGGACTGATTTTCCTAAAGTTGGGGTCTTTCCGAGGACCTCATGGAGGTGGAGGCGTGGGTTTGCGCCGGAAATGCGGGTACCCAGCTGATGGGGGCAAGGCGTGGGGGGAATCCCGCCCCTTTTCATTCTTTACATGGATTTTGGCAGACCCTGCTTTATTAGCAGGTTTTTGAGGGTGACTTATCGTAGTTCACGTGGCAGATGGGTGTTGCGCTGGATAGTCAGCTCGTAATTTGACCCAAGTCGGCCCCATGGTCGGACGAGTTCGATGTGCCATTGCGGTTTCCATCTTTCTTGCGAGGGTCAAAGACCAATCCAAACCTCCACAAGGCAGTTGCCAGTGAGTGAGCTTTGTTCGATTAATCAGCTGCAATAGCAGTCTTGCTTATTGAGGGCAAGCCCATGCAAGTTTGCATAGTGAGAGCACCTTACAAAGTCCGGCTGTAACTTGTGTTGAGTACTGGCCATACAGGCAGATAGCAGGAACTTGGATGAAGCCCCGGCAGATAGCCATTTTCGGGAGTGAAGCTTTGGTGTGATAACACCCAACCCAGGAAACAGGCTAGGCCAAATCAAGCTCTTTGGCTAGCAGCGGGCTTGCCGAGAAGAGCATGGATCCGTTTTTTGGGTTTCAGCTGGAGAAGTGATACCATGGCTTGAAGGTGTTGGTCACAGTCCTCGAAGCAGTCTCAAGTTTTGTTTCAATGGATGTGGGTGAGCAGAAGGTGCACAATCGATCCCTTGCCACGTGATTGAGAGACAAGGATGCTCCCAGCTACAAAGCGACAGTTCCCAAAGAATCGCTTGCACGAGTCTTGCATGTTTTTCTTTGCGTTTTTTTTGGGGGGTTGCTTGCTTTGTTCCCCTTGTTTCGGGGTTCTTGGGGCTTTGCTTGGGGATGTACTGACTGTACTTGGGGAAGGGGCTCGGCGTGACGGTGTTTGTCTTCCTTGCGTACATATGGCGGTGGGTCAAAACCGATGGTTCCATTTTGGTTGGTAGGTGCACCACCCATTCTAGTCTGTTTTAATGGGGATTGGGATGTTCACTTGGGGGTACGAAATTTTGACCCCTGGCCATATTAGCAAGGAACATTGGCAGGGTCTTGTCTAAAGGAGGTGCCCTCCCATCAATGACATGGAACCTGATGTTCGGGGGGGTCCTGGAAGACCATCTTCCTTTTAAAGGGACCGCCGGTCAGGTTCCATGTTAGTTGGTGGGAGGGTAAATGCTCTCCCTTCTTTCGCAGGAAGCTGACATGAAGCCTGAGAAGCCAGACGACCGGCTCCTCAAGGCCGATCAACATTTTTGGGGGCGCTCGGTCTTGGTTGGAACAGAGGGGCCCAACAAGGCGAGCGAACTTGGCAAGGCACTGAGGCTTTGCCGTTGCTTCTCCTGAGGTGAAGGGCCTGGACAAGCAGCAGCTATGCATCGACCTGCTTATGGTTGGCCACTGGGCACCAACAAATCTGAAAACTTTGGAGTGGGTTTCTCGAAGAGGGGCGGGTTGCCAGGCCTCTTGAGATGTTGAAGCTGGTGTGCCATGCGTTTCGGGCCTTGGCCACCAGACTTTATAAATCAGAGTGATCATGTACTCGTCACTTTTCCGCCGCCCAGCTTCAGCAAAGGGTTCGTTAAAGCCAAATCTCTGTTTTTTCTATCCTTATTAACTTGGTTTCTGGTTTGCCAGGCGCTGCCCGCTTTCGCTTCCACACGCGTTCCTGAGGTTTCATTTGTCGTGATGAGTGTTGCTTTGCCAATGACTCGGGATCCCAACTTTTTGTTGCTAGGCGGCCGCGTGATTCAGTGATGTGACTGCGCGCTGCACCCTCTCATCGATGGAGCGTCCAAGGCTGTGTCCAGTCCTACGTGGACTTCTTCTACATCACCCATCGCAAAGCACCGCCCAAGGAGGGTTCTTCAGAGGAGGCACGGACATTGGGGCCAACGCCTTGGATTTATTGGTCACTTGCATGCGGCGGTGAAGAGGCATATGTTTTTGTTCTGGTTGTCGGCCGTTTGTCTCGAATTTGGCGAAATGCTGTTTGAGATGTTGGATCCATTGCCACGATTTGTGCTCTGATCCACACTCTTTTCAGCTCGTACACCCGGCGTCTCTTCTTTGTGGCGTAAGGTCTAGTGGACTCTATTGGGACATTGGGGTCTGCGTGAACCTTTTGAAACCAACTAGCCGGGGAGGTCCAACTAGCTGGCCTTGTGGGGGCTTTACAGGTGAAGGATGTGGTCATCCCGGAGGAGACATTGATCTTTCTCAAGGCGGGAACCTTTCCGTGGCTCTCCCAACATCCGGTGAGTTCCCAAGCTTGGAACTTGTAACAGGGAGATGTTTGCGACTGAAGAGCTGCAATGCCCTATATGGCTGTGGGTCAAAACCAATGGTACCATTTTGGGCTAGGTGCACCACCCATTTCCGTCTACTTTAGTGGGGATTGGGATGTTCACTGGGGATACGATTTGGCTTTTGACCCATGGCCATATGGGCTACTGTGGATGGACAAAACCCAGCACCAGTTGGTAGTTCTAGGGTTTCATCCATTCCAACTTCTTCAAAGCAGATTTTGGTAGTTCGGTACGAAATTTCGGGGGCCATTCGTGCCAGGAGACCCTGGAGCAAGCGGAGACGGCACGAAGGCTGCGAAGCTACTTGCAGTGCCATAGCCCCGGCATGGGGTGTGGTGCAATAGGCACTGCCTTGGATTGAACATGGGCATCACTCAAAATGGGGGACCCCTCGAGGTGGTTGGCCCCCGATGTTGAGACAGACCCACATGTAGCTCAGATTTGAAGGTATTCCCTTTTTGTTGTTGGGGAGGAGAAAGCCCTGCAGTCTGGTGCGGCCAGATTGCTTACGATCCACTGGAACACAGGCCCTTGGCTAGGAACCTTCTGGTTGGTTTCCACATGGATGGGACGGACCCATGAAATCCGAACCCCCCCAATTCCAAGGGCTTTGCAAACCACATGCGGCGGACAACCAGATTCGCGCCCGGCGGCATTTCCTTGAACAGGGGTCCCCATATTTTCCTAGGTCCTATGCAAGCCAGTTTAAAGCTCACTTCTGGGGCCCGAAAAGGGGTTGATTTTGGTGGAGAAACGCTTTTGGAAGAGAGAGGCGTCGGCCCGAGGCTATGAGAGCTACAACTCCCTGGCCGAGTTCTTTGAGAAGGTTCCGGACCTGAAGAGCGCCATGCGCCCTCAATCCAAAGTCTCACGTCAACTTCCTGTCGGTTTGTTGGATACGCAAACAGAGGGAAGGCGCGGTGCTGTCCAGGCAAGCAATGTTGCTACGAAGGCTGACAGAGGAGAGAGACCAATGTGAAAGAGTCCTGGCAGGGGGGTATTGAAGACTTGAGTCAGGCGAAGAACTGGCAAGCTCAGTACATAGTGCTGTATGAGAGGTTGTCCATTATTGAAGTTGTTTTTTTCCCATGGCAGATTGCAATCTTTCTTCCGGCGCGACGATTTCGGTGTGCGCACGAGGGAAAGCGCTCTAGATACCTCCCATGGCGGAGGTACTTCTACCAGAGATGTGCCGACGTGGCTGCGGAGGCGCTGCACAGCAGGGAGTGGTCAGGGTTGACGAGCGCAAGGTATCACTGTGAAATACTGTGCGCGGTGGCAACGGGCACGTGGACCGTAGATCCGTGAGTCAATATAGCTCCTTTTCCGACCAAAGCTCCGCTGCCATCATAGGTGCCCTTTTTGGGTTAGTCCAGTTAAAGATCGATGGCGCTGGTTTAGATAGGCTTTATTCCATCTAGCTGCGAAACCCATCTACTTTTCCAAAGGCCACCCTTGGCCACGGGGCGGTCCACTCCCCTCTGAGGTGGACGCCTGGGAGAGCATCTCCAAGGCCAATCTCAACCTCGGGAGCTGCGAGGTGCGGCTTGCGGCTTGATGCCTTGGGCGTCGGCTTCGGTTTGAGTGAAGGCCAAGAGAGGTTCGACACCTGTGTCTATGGGGTTCCGAGCCGGTTCCCGTTTTGGAACCTTCAAAAGCGGCAGTTTCAGTGGACAGACTCAGACTTGAAGTCCATCAAAATTCAGGAGCCTCGCACTAGTGGAATGTGGTTTGCGTCGTTGCTCTCCTGTGGAGGTTGCTCGCACTGGTGGATTCACTCTCCCTCAGTCAAGGCAGTTACGCCGAATCAATCGCCGGGCACTCCATTTTTTGCATCCTTCGTGATGCGCAGCTTGGCGCGTAGGAGCAGGGCGGGAACTGGCAGAGCGCTATGCAGTACCATGAGAAGGCTTTGGAGACACTCGGCTTGGGCTGTTCTATCTTCTGCCTCCCCTTGAAACTCGGGGTGAGGCCCATGGCAATTTCGAGTGAAATTCAAGGCCGTCCAGCCGGTAGTTGTTTTGGTGCAGCTGAAGGCTCGCACCAACGAGCAAAGATACACAGTGCCCTGCCAAGTCGCAACAACCCCTGGCGAAAACCTTTTGGGGTGCAACCCCCGGCATCCCAAAGCTTGCCCCCATGGCAAATGTGCCTGTCGTCAACTTCGCATCCGCAAAAGTGAGGCATTTTCCACGGAGTTCTCATCCAATACCCAAGAAGGTGGTTTTTTCTGGTTCCCCTGGTTTTCCTTGACACCATCCCCAAACCGGGCTGTTCCCCCCAAAAAATCAAGAGCGCAAGGGCGAGCACCACGGACCCGATCCGAGCCGCTCCGAGGATCGCGACCTCCGCGGACTCGCTGCCGCTGCAGATCAAGGCGGCCAGCCGCCTCACCACGGTCTGCCAGGTGCTGGCGGAGCAGTGCGAGAAGGAGCCTTCGGCCGGTTTTGGGAGGGGACGGCCAAGGGGCCGGGGGGCCGGGGATTTGGGGGAAGCGCTTTTGGTTTTTGAGTTTGGGGTTGTGGTGTTTTTATTTTGAGGGTGCACTGGTTGTTTCATGTTAGTTGGGATTAAAGTGTAAGGGGAAACCAAAGGGAAAACCACCCACATGTTGCTTTGTGTCTTGATTAGGGAATTTTAGGAATGGATGATTGCAATTTCAAGGACACGGAAGAAGCTGGGCAAAGCCCTCCGTGTCTTTTGGGTTCTCCCTAACTCTCTTCCTCAACCCCATCCCACCCATCCCACCCATCCCACCCATCCCACCCATCCCACCCATCCCACCCATCCCACCCATCCCACCCATCCCACCCATCCCACCCATCCCACCCATCCCACCCATCCCACCCATCCCACCCATCCCACCCATCCCACCCATCCCACCCAGCCCCCCCCGGAGACCCGCTGGCCGGCTCGCCGCTCGCTCGCTGCTCCGAGGACGGCCAGGACGTGGAGGCGGCGCAGCTTTACGAGCGCTGCCTCAGCAGCGCGCAGCTCTCCAAGGACGCGGCGCTGGAGGGCTCCGCCTGCCACAAGCCGCGGCCTCAGCCCCCTTCGTCGGTTCCGAAGCGGAGCGGCCCGGAAAGTCGAAGCGGAAAAGACGGGGGGAGCGGTGGGATGCGGTGGGTTGGGCAAAGATAGTGTTGGTAGCCCCAAAATGGGTTGCAGGGGGTAAATGTAAAAATTATGGACTATGACTAAAACCTGCGGTCCAATTTTGGTTTGATTTTCGCCCATACCCACCTTCGTACTTGAATGCCCTCCCACTCGACAAGGAAGCTGACGTTGGGGGGGGCGCTGGAAGACAGTTGCCCGGGTCGGTTCCATGTTGGGAGGGTCTTCTGTTTCTAAGGGGAGAGAGTCATGTTATTTCCCTTTCCACACCTGAAGGTTTAGGATTCCTTGGCCTCAATAATTTTATATTTGGAACACAATCCTCATGTGAACCTCGAGTGCTGATGTTCTGAAATTTGGGTGCAAGAGCAAGGGATACGCTATGGGTACCATCTCGTGCGACGTCAGCCATTTGAGAAGTTGACGCCGCAGAGTTGTGTTGGTAAAGCCAAGTCACGGCGAGCTTCACTGGACTCTTGGCCTCCCGCATCCGGCAAAGCCTGTCTTTCAGGTTGGGTTTGTCAAAGCACAAGACCGGCAACTACGAGCAGCTCGGCCAAGCGACTCACTGTTTGGGCCACGCGAGCCGGAGGGGTGAGATGACTCTCTTGCAGAAGCAAAACCCAGCAGGGACGAAGCAAGTGTGAATTTGCGGAAGGTTTACTGACTATGGAATGCAAATGGGGGTTCAACCTTGGCATTTGGAGGGCGCTTTAGGGTTTAGGGTTTGCTTCCGAAACTGAGTGCCGAGGACGGCATTTTGTGAACGCTCTGAGACAGGAGCAGACACGTCCAATAACGATGGCTATCCCTATGGCTCTCCCAACGAGCCTTTGTATCAGGCTCTTTGAAACTTAATTTTAGAGTCTCTCGGAGCGGCTGCCACCTGGAGGGAGGTGCGCGTCCTCACCGCCACCGCCACCACCACCACCGCCACCCGCCGCCGCCGCCGCCGCCACCACCACCTCCTCTCTAGAAGCAGAAGAATCCATTCCCATCTCACAATCCGTTCCAAGGAAACTAAACGGTTGGAGGGAACTTCTGTGGCCCATGGCTTTGCTTCGATTCCTCTCTTGAGCCAGGCAGGCCGTCGAGTTGCAGAAGCAGTACCTGGAAATCTGCAGGCGAGAGCCTTGGTTTTTGGATCTGTTGAATGGTTGCTGCTTGTGGACCAACAGATTGGCACACAGGCAAGCTATCCACGGTCTATAGGCTTGGATGCTGCCAGCGAGTTGTGAAGGTATGCCTTTTGCAGGCCACTGAGTACTCCGTTCGACATGGAACCATGCCATGCTCTCATCTGCACAGCTTGCATCCATGATCTTGCCACCTGTGCAGGAAGAAAGCAATGACCACAAAAACAAATGTGCAATATGAACAATATAAGCACACACAGACACACACACGCGGGCACACACACAAAGGCACAATCACACACACACACACAAACACACACACAAACACACAATCACACACAAATACACACAAACACACACACACACACACACACACACACACACACACACACACACACACACACACACACACACACACACACACACACACACACACACACACACACACACACACACACACACACACACACACACACACACACACACACACACACACACACACACACACACACACACACACACACACACACACACACACACACACACACACACACACACACACACACACACACACACACACACACACACACACACACACACACACACACACACACACACACACACACACACACACACACACACACACACACACACACACACACACACACACACACACACACACACACACACACACACACACACACACACACACACACACACACACACACACACACACACACACACACACACACACACACACACACACACACACACACACACACACACACACACACACACACACACACACACACACACACACACACACACACACACACACACACACACACACACACACACACACACACACACACACACACACACACACACACACACACACACACACACACACACACACACACACACACACACACACACACACACACACACACACACACACACACCCACACACACACCCACACACACACACACACACACCCAACACACACACCCCACACACCACACACACACCCACACACCCACACACCACACACCCACACACCCACACACACACACCCACGCACGCACGCACGCACGCCACGCACGCACGCACGCACGCACGCCACGCCACGCACGCCACGCCACGCACGCCACGCACGCACGCCACGCACGCCACGCCACGCACGCCACGCCACGCCACGCCACGCCACGCCACGCACGCACGCACGCACGCACGCCACGCACGCCACGCACGCACGCCACGCACGCACGCCACGCACGCGCCACGCCACGCCACGCCACGGCAAGCAAACGCAACGCAACGCAACAACACAAAACGCACAACACACAACACACAACACACAACACACAACACAACACACAACACACAAACACACAACCACACAAACACACAACACACACACACACAACAACAAACACACAACACACAACACACAACACACAACACACAACACACAACCACACAACACAACAACACACAACACACAACACACAACACACAAACCCACAACACACACACACAACACACAAACACACAACACACAACACACAACACACAAACACGCACACACGCACAACGCAACACGCAACACAACGCAACACGCAACACGCAACACGCAACACGCAACACGCAACACGCAACACTCAACACGCAACACGCAACACGCAACACGCAACACGCAACACGCAACACGCAACACGCAACACACAACACGCAACACGCAACACGCAACACGCAACACACACACACACAAACACAAACACACAAAACACGCACACGCGCACACACACACACAAACACACACACACACAGACACAACACACACAGACACAAACACAACACACACACACACACACCACACACCACACACCACACACCACACACCACACACCACACCACACACCACACACCACACACCACACACCACACACACCACACACCACACACCACACACCATACAACACACAACACACAACACAGAGCACAGAACACACAACACACAACACACACAACACACAACACACCACACACCACACACCACACAACACGCAACACAGACCGCACACCACACAGCACACACCACAAACCGCACACCAAACACCACACACCACACACCACACACCACAGACCACAGACCACAGACCGCACACCACACAGCACACACCACACACCACACACCACACACCACGCACCACACACCACACACAACACACCACACACGACGCACAACGCACGACACACGACACACGCGCACGCGCACGCGCATGCGCACGCACACACACACACACATTCACACCTAGTGAAACAGCTGGCTTGCAAGGGGAGTGGTAGAGGCAGTACAAGGTTGTTCGACACAGTGGATGAGCCAATTTCAATTGCCAATTTCCAGTGAGCCAATGCGCCTCCAGCTGATGCCACACGTCGACTTCACTTGTGCATTCCCTTGCGCGCCAGGATCCATGAGGACAGGGTAGGCGAGAGCGCAGCCCGCGCTGCGCTGGCGCAAGCCTTTGAGGCCGAGGGCGCAAGCGGGAAGTCAAGTTCTCCGTGGCGGTTGCGGTCAACATGTTGTGAACCATCACAATCACCAGCGCCAACACAAGACAAACACGCAAACACACAGAAACAAACACAAACAGCTTACTCCCTCCCCTCCGTCCCTCCCTCCATCCCTCCCTCCATCCCTCCGTCCTCCCTCCCTCCATCCATCCATCCCTCCATCCCTCCATCCTTCCACCCCTCCACCCCTCCATCCCTCCATCCCTCCATCCCATCCCTCCATCCCTCCATCCCTCCATCCTTCCATCCTTCCATCCCTCCATCCCTCCATCCCTCCATCCCTCCATCCCTCCATCCCATCCCTCCATCCCTCCATCCCTCCATCCCATCCCTCCATCCCTCCATCCCTCCATCCCATCCCTCCATCCATCCATCCATCCATCCATCCATCCATCCATCCATCCATCCATCCATCTATGTATCTATTTGTTTGTTTAATCTCTCTAACCAATCTAATCTTTCGATGAGTATGTTTATTTGTCTACCGATGTCTCTCTCTCTCTCTCTCTATCAATCAGTCTATTCATTCCTCTTTCTCGGTGCCTTCTTTCTTTCTTTCTTTCTTTCTTTCTTTCTTTCTTTCTTTCTTTCTTTTTTTCTTTCTTCCAACGTTTTTCCTTTTTTTTCTTTTTTTTTCTTTCTTTTTTTTCTGTCCTTGTTAACGTCTTATCTTCTTATCCGTCCGTCCGTCCGTCCATCCGTCCGTCCATCCATCCATCCATATATCAAAATTGCTGCGCTGCGTTTGTGGTTTGTCGCAAGTCAGAGCACGCAAAACATCCGGTGCCCCGGCGACCTTGCACGTCTCGCAAACTGCAAAGGGGCAAGCTTGCCCTGCAAGGGCCGCTCGACCCGTGGCAGGGTTCTTATGTTGCTCCTAGCGGTTTTCGGCATTTGTCGGGGGTGATTTGGGCAGTATGGGGAGCTCTGTATCTACGGGTCAATAGCCAGAAGCTGTTACCACCAGGTGATGGGCTTAACAACTCTAGCACAAATGGGCCACAGGTCGCGCGGGCCATGTCACAGCGGGTCCAACTTTGGGCGGGAAAGCCGCTTCACATGACCGCGTCCGAGGATGGATTTCCAACATGGGGCAGATCGGGCTTGACACCTTCTTTTTGACATGAATGCGGTGCCCACATCGTGGCTGCCCTGCGCTGACGAATCAATGCGCAACATGAGCTCGGTGGGAGTGGCTGTTGGAGACAAACAGCTCTTGAACAACGAGGAGATGCTGTCAGAGGCCATCCCAGGTGCAGAACTTGCAGCTTTCCTTAGCGTGAAGCCAGTGGTGTGCTGCAGATTCTCAACATCCGGCTGCGATCCTGACGATTCTTGCGTGGTGGAAATTCCAAAAGGCGCGACCGAGATTGAGGATGGTGCCTTTGAAGCTTGCCGCTCAGTAAGTGTTTCCATCTCCGACTCTGTTACTGTGATAGAAGATGCTGCCTCTGGTTGCAGCTCATTGGCAAGCATTACCATTCCCGAGTCCGTGCGCGTAGGAAATGATACCTTCCATGGTTGCAGCTCTGCAAGCGTGACCGTTCCGGATTCCGTCAAGATTGGATCGCGCGCCTTCCGAAAGGCTGTAGCGATTTGCCAGGGCGAGTACGTTGCAAGCTATCCGGGTTGCCTTGGACTCAGAGCTGTTTTCTGAGGGGGCGGAGTTAGTTCTGGGATAGGCTGCATTTTCTATTTAAAAAAAAGAGCGCGCCAAAACCATTTGAAGAAACAAGTGTAAGTGAGGCCGTAAAGATTCGGGCAAAACGCAAGGTTCATCGAACTTTCCCTGGCACAGCAGAAAATGAATGCTCATGTCCAGGATGCTTCTTGATCCATGGCACGTCACTGCAGTGAGTTCCTTCAACCGGAGCCCGTTGAGTGCAAATCGAATGACCACCCATCCGGGGAAAAGCCGTTCCTCAGTTCTCAGGAAAGGTTGGCATCGCAAAACCGAATTTAGGTGCAACTTGCTTAATGTGATACAACACATCCGGTGCCGGTCCTGCTCAATTCGGGCCGCCCTCTGGTCAAAAGTCAGAAGAGAGGTTGCCCTTGAAATCTGCTTGGGCGCCCAAAAACTTCTATTGGCGGTTTTGGTGCTTCTACCTGCTACCCGGGTTAACTTAGGTTGTAAAGAATGCATAAACCTTTATGACAATGTTGGTAGAAGCAAATGATGAGTTTTTGGCGCTCACTGGGTGACGGGGTTGACAACGGTAGAAAGCACTTCCTATGAATTTGAGCGTTCGACTTCAGATTTTCTAACATGGAGCAGATCCTTTTAGTCTGATAACCTGATGAACACCGTTGCTCTCCTGCAGATGAAGGCGGTGCCGCACAAACAGCAGCTCTTTTGGTGGACACCCCGCTTGGTTTGCATGCTCTGGTCTTGCTTTGGATGGACCCCAGCTTTGATGTCCCAAAAGCTTGTTTTTTGAAGGTCGGATCTGTCTGGCACGGGCGCGTCCAACCGATTCCAGAAGTCGTTCGGACTGATCTCCAGCTTTATGTCTCATTTCGGGGACCTGAAAGTTTGGGTTCCTTTTGGTTAAAACAGCCAAGGGGTTCGTTCCCCCAGAAAAATAAGGCACTAGACCCGAAGTAACTGGGGGAAGTCACTGGGCAAGGATTGTAAGAGAGATGGCCTTGTAAATGAGCCAGCCATGCTTGGTCAACAGTAAAGCATTGGCTCAAAACTGTGTGCATAGCCCAAGCACACCCCACATCCCGAACATTGCGAAACCAGCCCCTGCCCAGCTGGCCAAAGAAGCCAAAACAGCGGTTGGGCGATTAAGGCGCAACAGCTGTTTGGGGCAGATGAAGGATTCGAAGTGCCACACAATGTGCACTTGACCTTGCGAGTGTTAAGCATGCCACGAAATCCGCACTTCACATTATGAAGGCGCTGCGCCTGCCACGAAATCTGCATGAGACCAATGCTGCGCCTGTCACGAGATTTGCACCCAACCTTGTGGAAGTGCTGCGCCTGGTTTGCTACACTATTTCTGTGAGAAGAGCGCGCGTCTGCGCCAACTGGGCTCCGAACATGGTCCGAGGAGCTCAGAACGTGCGACTAACTTTCGAGCATCCCAAAGCAAATCCTGCAGAGGGTTGCGCTTGTTTGACATTTCTATTCCCCCCCACGCGCGCGCAATTGTTCCCGCACGCTTATTATTATGCTTGTCATCGGTCTCAGAGAGCTAGCTTTCAAGTGGTTGCCGCGCCGCAGAAGCTCCTTCTGAGCTTCCTTTGACTACCGCTCGATTGAGCAACTGCTTAAATTGCATACTCACTTTGTCAGCAAACGCAAAAGTCACACAAACATGAGCGCATGGTTTTAAAGCCAAATCAAAGTGAGGTAGGTGTCGATTAGCCAACAACAGATGTGGAGACTCCGAGAGTCGAAACCGATCCTGTGGTTTTTTGTTACGGCAACCCTAGGGGTTCCTGGTTTCGACTCATAAGATACATAATCCAAGCCTCTGATGCCAGGCCACTGGAGACACGCCGGAGGCGATTAAGCAGCTAGAGAACCTGCTGAGCGCCTGAAGCCCAGACAGTTCATCGCAGGCGAAGGAACGCTGACGAGTCTCTATTGCCAACACCGCAGAGACTGCACGCTTTTTGGGAATCTCTAGCCTGATTGCATTTTGTCAGTCATTGCCTTGCTCCATGAACCGCAAAAGATGAGAGAAGGCTATCAATGAAATCAGAGGCCTGCCAAATGGGACGGACAGTTTTCTGCTCCCTTGTCTTGATTGCCCTGCCGTAGTTGCAACCATGTCGCACTCCGTGCCACCAATCAAGATGCTGGCGCCGGCGCAAGTCAACGGTGCGGAGGGCCAGACGACGCTCGCGCAAATTAGCCAAGGCAGAAAGAGTTGAAGCCATGCCCCTGCAAGGGGCGAACGCGGGTCTGGGCAAGGGAGTTCACCTCCTTCTCAAGAGAATCTCCTGCGCGCACTGCCGCAGCTCCTGCAAGCGCTTCCCGAAATCTGATATTTGTCTTCTCACGGGCGGGCGACGCGGTCGTTGTCGTCTCCATGTCTGGCAAAACAAGCTGCTCTCTGCCACCGGCTTCATGTTTGAGTTGTTGAGCCTTCCTTGCACCGCCGCGTGGCGCCGTGGTGTGGATGGGCCACTTAGGATCTTTGGCGACAGTCTCAGAAAAAGAAAGAAAAATAACTAGTTCCCCGGCTGCGGAACTAGCTATCCTGGTTGGGGGTTGCATCTTCACAATCAGGGCTAGCACATCCCGCAAAACGGGAGCCGCCAGGGGCTCGGAAGGGCCCTTCTGAAGATGGCATGCCTCTCCGAGGCCTTGTAGAATGAGTCCCCCAACGAGGCTTCGCAACTTTTCCGAGTTCAACTTACGATGTTTGTCAATCTCGGAGATTCGCGAGTTTGCAAGAAAGGGTCTCGAACTGCAATACACTCGCAGAGCCTGATGCCTTTGTGCTTTGCAGTCGCCCCATGTCTCGCCTTCACTTGCGTGACGCGGAGTCGAGCTGCATCGTCTCCCCCCTTTCTTCCCGATCAGCGCCACACTCCGCTGCCAGCGACAGTGCCAGGGGCAAAGCGCCAAACATGCAATTAGTGCGCAGGAGAGAAACGTGGGCGCATGTTTCAGCCTCAGACCCAGATGCGGGCAGCATCACTCGCTCGCACTGACGGAACAACGTGGATATGGTTCGCTGCAAGTGGTTGCAATTTCGACTGGGCCCCTGGAGATGAGTGAGTTAACAAAGGCGATTGCTGCGAGCAACCGGCTCCACTCTTTTCTGTGTGACTGTTTGGATTGGCACCCTGCGTGCCACGGACGGGTTTTCAGGTGCCTAGGCCTTTGAAGCAAGGGGTCAGGCAGGTGTCACAAGGCTCGTTTGGGGTGGGGTCCATGTCTCCCTTTCCAGTGACAGTTTTTGGAAGGGTCTTTGGTCTCGACATTGAGGTGGCCAGCGAGGCAGGCGAGCTCAAGGCGCAGGCCGGCGCGTGTTCCTCGGCAGGCAACGCGGGGGAGGTGAAACCGCCAGCAATCCAATGCCTTTGGTCACGTTTGGTGCATTCAGGGAGCCAGCCCAGCGCCTATGAAGTGTTCATAAATGTGTTTTGAAAGGATCTCGGTTGTGTTTTTTAATTGCTGCAGACTGGCCGCAGAATTTGACCTCGGCCTTGGTCATCCAAAGGTCTTAGCAGGACTAGCTGCTCCACAACCGCACTCGCTGCTCAGTGTGTGTCTCCCGCCGCCACTTCTTTAATAGCGGAAAGTTGGCTCCGACACCTGTGGGAAAGTTGACATGTCGATGAATGCGGCATATGGGTTTATCAAATCTCATCGCATTAATCCACAAGGGGATTTCCTTGCTGGCTTTTGCCGCTTCTGTAACTTTTTGTAAATGGCGCTGCCTCGCACCGACAGCTCGGAGCGGTCAAGTTTGCGAGTGTCTATGCTTGCAGGGCCATTTGGGGATTCGTTCAAGACGGACAGCGCAGATATATGATCTTGTGGGTCCAAATCGCCCAAAAATCGAGGCCACTTCGGGAATCCAACGTGGAAAGACCTTTGGGCGAACCCAAATCCCCACGTTTCTCGTTTCATTGGTTTTTTGGTTGGGGGGGAGGATTGCGCCTCTGACTGGAGCCCAAAATGGCCCCAAGTGGTGAGACGAGGCTTGAACCTGGGGATCTTGTACAACAGCCGGGGCAACCACGAGAAGTCCGTGGAGCTCTTGGAGCAGCACTTCGACCTCGCCAGGCGGCTGGCAAGCGGTGTCTGAGGGCCGTGACGTGAGTCGGATGAAAACCGAATTTGGTTCCCCAAAATGGTGAACCCCTCCCCAAAGAAAAAACAGGACCGAAAAGAGTGGGCAAGGCGGCATGGCTGGGACTCTAAGCTTATACCCGGGTTTTGAGTGTGGCTCGAGTGGGCCGGCGGAAGATGCTTGAGTGGCAGCTTGTTGTGATGAAATGTCTTGGTTTGGGCGAATTTTCGGGCAGTTCAAGCAGGGCTGACGGACATGGGCGAGCTTCAGACTGCCCAGTCAGCCAGTCTGAAGCGAATGCGCTCAGGCAGATCGGAGACCGGAAGCTGATCGACTCTGCTCGCCTCTTGCCCGCATACAGCTGGCGAATAGAGAAGTCGTGGCCGATGCCGGAGAAAGGTCCCTTGCACTCACAATCAATTTGCCAATCATGGTTGATCCTGCAACAATGAGTGAATCCAATATTGCGCATGCCAAGCTGGATCCGAGGAGTTGTGCTTGGGATGGTGCGTCCGCAGCTCGGGGGTGCTTGTTGCGCATGTGCCCGACAAGTGCTGCCAATCCCACAGACTCCTAGGCGGCAATGGCAAGCTGAAGGCTTACATCAATATGGTGAACAACGACCTCGAGAAGCTGCTGAAGTGGAAAAGCCCCAAGCTTAGATTCGCACAGTCAATGAGCTTGCGTGCTTGCCCTTCAATCACGAATGCGGAGAGCGGGCCATGTGTCAGTGGCAATTGTTTACTGAAAACTTTCTTGCAGCTTCCATGACTGTTGAAGGGGGTAGCGGGTATATTGGATGGTGAATGCGGTGAGTTTTGCGCAGTTGACGCCTCATGCTGAGACCATCGTTGCAAGGCAAGCGGGCCACATTGGACTCTTGACCGTCGCTGCTCCAAAATGGAGACGCGTGGCGTTTAGTCCCGGCGCCGCGAGTTCATGCCGTCGTCGGCCGCCCAAAGGGCTGCACCATTTTGGTTCAAGGCATGGGTTGGTTGCAAAATTGCAGAAGCAAGTCTTTCAACTCATTGGGTTTGCGGTGGCATGGCTTGGGCGCAGTTTCACAGGCCCCAGCGCGCGTGTTCAGTTGCGCGCGAGAGGATCCCCGGCCACGGCCAGGGAATGTGCGGCTGGGGTCGAGTGCAAGATTCACAGAGCCGCTTGAAAGTTCCTGGCGCCGCCGGTGAATTCAACTTGGAATCGGCCTGCAGTTCACTAGGCCTGAAGTTCGCTCAGTGAGGGATGCACCTTTTTGGTCGACAAATCTCAAACGGAGCCAAAACCCAAGGCGCCCGTGTCGCACAGGCAAATTCTGGTGTCTCTGCCTCTCTTTGTTTTGGCTCGAAGCTGCGAAAGCCTTACCCCGAGCAACACCGGCAGCACAGGGGAAGTCAACGTTGGAGACTCCAACAAGAACCAGTCCAGCATGTCAGGCGCCGAACCTTGCAAGACAGTCCAGCAAACATCACCCCAACATACGGCAACTGGCCCCAAAGGACGGTCATTTACCAGCCTCAAATGCCTCAGCCACCCACAGTCTATGGCATGCCGGCCGTGATTCTCTCAAGCCTGGCAGCTGCACATTTGCCACAGTGGACCTTGGATTCATGTCCAAAGGCAAGGGATCAATAGATTGATTTGGACTTGCCAGCTCGCAGTAGCATGAGAGCTCGGCGCTGGCATGCGTTGCTGCTGGCTGTGTGTGCCGGCGCCTCACATGGCTTTTGGGCTCGAAGCAATTTTTGAAGGGGCCTTCTGAAGGAAGACGTGCAGGTCGCGCCTTCCACCCCTTGAGCTTTCCCAGCGGCACCTGGTTTGTATCGCGCCCCGGCCCCTGGGCCCGGCTTTTTGGGGTCATGTTCCCATGCCTCGAAGTGGGTCTGATGGGGATGAATGGACGATTCAAAGCCAAAGGGCAAGGACACCGCCCAGCACGCCGGCTTTGACCCATTTCCATATTCGCGTCTTCAGCCGAGTTTTCCATATGCATACCCAGCTTTGTGAACCTCCCTGGATCGCCCGTTGCTGTTTTGCCAAGGGGGCGTTTTTCGCAGGTCGCCCATGCGTCGCCCACGTCCGAAGCGACCCTTCAAGGCCCGGGCCCAGCTGCAGGTGGTGGCGCCCAAGGCGCTGGCGCGGCAGCGGGGGGTCCCAAGCGGTCAGGTTGGCCGTCTCTGGTGGGCGTCTCTGGGCATGGGTCAAAATTAAACCACCAGGAATTGGCCCGCAGATTTTAGTCCATGTTTCCCATTTACAGGGTAACCCATTTTGGGGTTACCCTGTTTTTGACCCACCGCCTGGTGGACATCACTCGAGGATTTGATTGTGGGAGGGGGAGTCCCCATTAAAATTCATAGACATATATGTTTTGCCATGTAAATACCAACGAAGAATGGGTTCCACCCTGTTTCAGTTCGTGCGAAGGGAGTTCGTTTATCAGTAATTCAAGCATTGTATTAAGTTTGAAGATTTGAGACCCTCAGTGGTGCCCTTTGAAGCCTTTTGGAAGCCCCTGCATCCCCACCCCCTTAAAAAAATCAAATTATAACAGTGGCCCCTGAAATTCCACTTTCTGGTTCCAGGGAAGGTACTGCAAATGGAATTGCGCCCCCATCCCACTCAAGGTGGATTGCGCCTGCCATGTTTTGGATGCTCAGCTCTGCTTGGTGTCCAAAGGGGCAAAGTGAGCTTTGTGTTTTGTAGCAGATTCAATCCTCAGGTGATGCTTTTGCAGCCATCCTGGAACATGCAAACGTTCTTTCCGGATGCATCTACATGGACATCAATATGGGCATCCAACTAATGTTTCGAGCGGCTCGTCTGGCGCAGAAATCGGAAAGACACCGGCGAGCGGGCTAGGATGTTGGAATGGTTTGCTTCCTCCGACGGGAAGTCGCCATGTGTCCTAAGAAATCCGAGAAATCCAATTTGCTTGGACGTCACAGGATGCCCATCGGATGTCGCCCGATCCGAAGGCTCGTAGCCTGCCCGAGGTTTGAGGCGACCCATGGCATGGTCTATGGCGCGGGGCCCTGGGGTATGCGACCCACAGGGGGCTGGGGTCACGGGGGGGGGGGGGGGTTCCCCCTTAGAGACATATCCAGATGTTTTGTTTCGGGAAAGCCAATCTGTGTTCGTACTCGCGAGAAGTGAGTTGATTGCAGGAGATGGGTGGGCTTTCACTGACTAGCACCTTCAAATCTAAGTTTGCTGCCGGAGATCTCGCAATGAAAGGGATCGAACGTGTCTCCCAATCACCCATGACGTCAAGGATGTTGCAAGCAAAACAAAGGATGGGCACAAGCAAACAAACAAGGAAGCCAGCAAGCAAGCAAATAAACAAGCGAGCGATCGATCGATCGATCAATCGATCGATGCTTTTGACCGCAACGGATCCTGCATGTTGCTTGCGCAGGCACCACGGCCACCTTCGGCACACCGGACTACAGCCAGCGGGTGCCGGCCCGAAAACGGGGGTTTGATCCATTCTCGAGGGAAGGCGCAACAGGGCAGTCCGCCAGTTGTCCGTTTTCATTTCTCTGCGATTGCCGGGAAATGAACAGGGGCCCCTCCTTGCTGTTTGCTGAAGTATGTTATTGACCTCTTTTTTGGAATAACAGAAACAGGGGTACCTGTCTTGACACAGCCACACATGTGTGAAAGCATGATTCCTGGCAGAGGTGCTTGGCCAGCTGCTTTGGGCGGAGTCCAAGGGCAAGGAGCCGGGTTTGAGTTGCCAGACTCGACTTATCTCGGCCTCCGGGCTCCGGGCTCTTTGGGCGGACCGGCCTCGTTTGGATTAGGACTACTGTGAGCCTGGCGACTACAGCCTGCCGGACTCCAGGCCGCCGAAAGGCTCGGAGGTGGCAAAGGAGCCATCCGCTCCGCGACCATCCCTCGATCCGCGAGGCGAGTGGCCCAAATCGCCGGAGGAGATGTTGAAGAAGGTGCTGCTGGTGCGGAGAGGGAGGTGTACCTTCGTCACCAAGGCGGGAACGGCTTTGCATCAAATGCGCGCTTTTTAGCCATAGAATAACATGAATCCAAGTCGCATGCCACGCATGAAAGGATTCTGTAGATCCACAGCAACAACCCGGGATGCGACTGGTAAGGAAGAGAAGATTGGACATGATTTGGACTAGGCAGTTTCTGGGCACAGCTGCTTTGAGGGTCGGGTGGTTTCGTGAGGCTTTGCTCATGGGCCAACTGACATTTATAGGAGACTCCGAAGTCATGTCGGAAATCAGCGTTCCAAGTTGCTGGAAGCTCTTGGAGTCGCTTAGCTTCCAGTTCAGCTAATATCTTCGTCCAAGGTATGGCAAGTTGCAGCGACGGCTTGGCATTTGCCCCAAACAGCGACGAACGTGTGCACTTCCAAGTCAGCCGGAACTCGCGAGGACGAGTCAGGCAGACATCCAAGTCAATTCCAAGACGATCGTTTGGAGGGTGTGAATTGAATTGGGCACGGCCTTCTCACACCAGGTCCGCATCGCTGAGGAGAAGGGGGCGCACGCGGTGGTCGTGGCCGGGCCCTCGGGGTTTGATTCATGCAAGCCACAAGCCATAGGTCAAGTTTGCTTTTTTTGTCCCTTCCACAGTGGATTTCCACCCCATCAAGAAAGGCGCGTTGCACTCTGCCGGTGGAATTTGGCATGGATGTTTAGAAAGATGTGGAAGGGATGAGTACAGTTTTGAGGGCTCTGATGTATCTCTGTAGCCCGGCGCCAAGGTGGACAAAGAGACTTCCACCAAGACGTCAGAGGACATCCAAAGAACGGCCGTCCCGGCACCATTGCTCGAAGAAAAACCAGGGGCGCCCCAGCGCTTTGAGATCTGGGACCCCAGAATAATCCTGTGGGAAATTCGGGTCCCCTCGCCTGGGTGTGTATGACACCCAGCAAATCTAGACAGTATACAGTTGCAGCGGTTTGACCCTTGCTGCCCAACCATCTAAAAAGATATGGACATTGCTTTGCTTAGTTTGACTTGTAGGGCTCCTGATTTGGGCGATGAAGCAGGCATTGAGTTTATCCCAAGGGCCCAGCGGTGTGATCTCGAGCTTGCCAGCTTCCATCGCAGTGCCTTCTGTGGGCGAATGCTTGCGCGGTCTTGATGCTCACTGCTCACTTGACGCTTGGTTGATGCCTGGCTCTGCATGTGCAGCTGATTTTGGTGCTGTACACTTTGGATGTTGCCCGAGTGCACCTCGGTCCGACCACAGTATGAATCAAGAACGACACAATGTTTGTTCGGTAGAATGCAGTTGCAGGTTCTGTGCTTGGTGAAAGAGTGATCACTCAAGAACATTGCAACCTGGGAGTGTTTTTCGGAGACTTTTGAAATATAAATAAAATGGGGAGGTCCCCGCACGTCCAAACAAACCACCAAGGAGTAAGGGGCTGAACAGGTCCACGTGGCTCGTGTCAGGTGATGGCCGATGACGGCTGGGGCGACTCGGTGAAGATCCCCTCCATCCTGCTCAGCAAGCCGCGCTGCTAAGCGCTTCAACCGTGGGGTTTGTCTCAAAAGTTGGGGAACCCTTTCAAGGGGTTTCCCTTAAATCCAAAAGGGGGTCCTCCAAAAGGACGACTACTCAAGCGATGGGCCCCAAGCTTGGATGCGTAGTGTAGTGATCCTTTCTAAGGCAGGTTTCCGTCTGCAAGGAGAAAGGACCACGTTTTTTGTGCGGCGTTTGGTTTGGGCTAAGTCCAGCAGGTAAAGGAGAGCGTGGCCTTCGAGCTGATGTGTGGGTCACTAACTTTGGTGGCAAAACCCAACGCGGCGAAAACCTTTGTCGGCCATGAGAGTCAGTGGGCCTTTGGCCTGTTTGAGATGTAAGCAACCGGGTGCGTATTGGACAATGACATCAACCAGAATCGACGCACGTGGGGAGCTGCTCAACTGGGATACTGTGACCGCTGTCAGTAGATGGTTGGCGGTGTGGCGGGTGTGTGTCTATAGATATATGCTAAGTTCCCCTCCCAATACCAGGGTTGTTGCTTTATTTAAAGTGAGGGGCAAATGATGGATGCTTTGCAGGGCCAGGCGCAGAGGTGGCTTGTAGCAACCAAATGGACAGTGTATAGACACATTGCTGTTGCTATTCAACATGGCAATGGACATTTCTCACCCGTAAAACATGTGCAACAACAAACTTCTTACGCAACAGGCATGTATGACATATACTTATGTGCATTGTCAAATTGTTTTAATGTTCATTTGGAAGTATACCATGATATATTTCCAAACAACCAATGGTTTCGCTACAGCAACATGGATATCGTGTAGTCCATTGATTAGGACGACAATTATTTTTTGGTATATTATTTTCTGATCTTGACACACTCCTTGTTATTTTTGCTGCTTGATAAAATGTAGTTGTTTGTGAATTTGTTGATGCCCAACAAACTTGGGTGTCCCGGGGGCGGGGTAAGGGGGGGGGGGGCGAGCTCCTACCATGTGCTCACACACACACCCCGCCTCTGTCTTTAAAATAAGAGTTGTTGCATAGTTTGTGCGTAGAAAGGTCAGGCCTTTCCAGGCCCCCCAAAGCTACCTCTTGCTTTCTTGTTGGAAAGTGTCACATCTACTTGGCGCGTCTCTTCCACATGGAAGTATTGCACAACACAGTGTCTTTGGGTGTTTTTTTGCCTGCTCTACCGCAGAAGGTGTTTCGTCTTTTGAGGATTGAAAGGCAATAAGTCGAAAACGGACTCCATTTTCGGATTCAAGTATGGCTTTGTTTGAACCGAAAGCCTGACACCTGTGCGGTCACAGGCCCAAAAAGGAAACAACACAGAAACTCCAGACTATATTTGTTCGGCCTGCCCAAACATATATGAGCGGAATAATTCGCCAAAGGCAGGCTGTTACTTGTACGTCTTTCTGCTATTCCGTTTAAAGAATCCAACAGTGGGATGTCGAAATTACGACACCCCTTCTAGAATGATAATGCGTGTCATCATGGCATGAGTTGCGTCATGGATGTATCTGAAGCAAATATCCACCAGAATCTGGATGGACCATGACAGATGGATCCTATAGATTATTCTGATGATTGGAGGGGGCTGGGGGGCAGGGAGGGGAGGGGGAGGGAGCCAAAATAAGCCCTTATTAAGCCCCTGATAAGGCCTTATTTGGGGCTTATTGGGGCTCCCTTCCCCCCCCTTCCTCCCCCCCCTAGGAATGGAGTCTGCATGACAGCACGGTAGTTGCCGCGCGCGTGCGTGGGATGAGTTGCCTGGGAAGGTTCGACGGGCAGAAGCTCATCGATGCTGCCCGCCAGGGTACAGTCATGGTGCGGGTGGCGTGTTTGAGCTTTCTGTCAGCGGGAGGACATGCCAAATGTGTGTGTTTGTTCCCGATCGTTGTACCAAGTCACGTTAGCTTGAAGGGAAACCGAGGAAACCACCATTTGGGGGCCCTCTTTTGACAGATAGCCAAATGTTCACCCTCCTTGAAGCAACGTATCAGATCGGGGCATTCTGACGAACTCGTTGTGGCTGGAAGTGTTGGATGGAAGACCCCAACTGTGCCCCCAATCCGCGCTTGCTGCCAAAAGGGAGCTGGCTATGTTGCTTAGCTGGCTATTGAATGCTTCCCTTGCTGGCAAACATGCATGTGACATGAGACATGTTCCCGCTAACAAGTCAACATGGCCCAGGTGCCGAAAGATTTGCAGCAGTTCACTGAGTCAGAGAGACGTTTGATGTGACTGATGTGTTGTTCACCAATCCACAGGGCCTTTTGCCTTGGACCATTGCAGCTTGCGCCCCAACCGAAAGCTGTTGGTGAAGCTCGAAAGGGAAGAAAGCACAAGTTGTTTGGGGAGCTAACCTCTGGAACCAAGAGAACCAACCTCTTTTTTGGGAACCCTTTTTGGAAAGGAGAGCCAAGCTCTGGGGCCAATTGAACCGGGTGCCAGGTGGAGCTCGCATGGGATATCCCGCGGGGCAAGGCAGACGGCATGGACGTTGATGGGCCAACTTATATTCACTTGGCACCCCCAAACAAGTCGTTGCTCTTGTATTGGTCGGAGCTGAGGGTTGTGCAATTTTGCGGCTTCCCTCTTTGGGAGCATGTGTGTGTGTGTGTGTGTGGGTGTCTTGAAGGCAGGTGTCGCCAGTTCTTTGTCAGTTGGATCCATGGCCCCTGCCCCAAGAACTTGCCATGTCACAATGTGGATCCAACAGCAGCCACCTGCGATACGCAGGTGGTGATGATGGAGTTCTGGCTGAGCTCAGGCTCCAGGTGCGGCCCTCCTGACCCCCACCAGTTGAAATTTTGTCTCCTCTTGGGGGGACACTCTTGGTGTTTTGTGGGGTTTTACTATTTTTCTACCCCAACACAAATAAGGGTAGAAAAAAACAAGTTTGTGTGTGTGTGTTTTGTTTTGCAGGGTTGAAATAGTCTCCTCTTGTTCATTCGCAGGGGAACACTCTTTTTTGATTTGGCTGTGGGTCAAAACCAATGGTACCATTGTGGGGTAGGTGCACCACCCATTTTAATCTATTTTAGTGGGGAGTGGGATGTTCACTGGGGGTACGTGATTCTGACCCATGGCCATGTGCGGGGTTGGAGCGCGTCCCAAATTGAGGGCTTCGCGCGGAGTTGGACCACAGAGTGAACCGAGTTTCGAGCCTGATGTCTTCTGTGCCCAGGGAAGCTAGAAGATTCCTGGAGAGGTTCAAGACCTGCGCCGGGGCCTTTGTGACCTGCGCTGAGAGAAAGGGCATGCTGGCGGCTTTTGTAGATGCCGCACTTTTCGAGCCTCAGCTTTTCTGCGGCCCAATTGTTTGTCATTGGCCAGATGGATCACATCCAACAGCAGACGTACCAGGACGACCGAACCCATCCAATAGCCACCGGAGTTGTTTGAGCATCGGCACGCAAATCACCAAGGGGTTGCCCAGAAGGCTTTGGCGGGGCATGTAATCAGGATCAAACAAGAATCAAAATTTCATCCTAAATCAAGCCAACATGTCCTAAGCCAGCCCCTACACCGACCAAGTTGATCCTACACCAAGTCGAAATTGAACCGAAACCGACCCAAAAACGATCCTAAACCAACCCAAACCCACTACATCAACTAGCCCATCCTAACTTCTCGCATCCCACCCTAACCAATTCTACATCCCACCCTAACCAATTCTAAACCAACCCTGAAATGACCACCCAAGCTGCACTTTCAACCAAACCTAAACCCGCTCTACTACCCTACACCAACTCTAAACCAACCCTGAGCATGCCCGACCACTTAGCCAACTCTACACCCGCAAGCCACAACAACCCCTACCCAGGATTGACGATAAGCAAACCTTAAAGCACCCCTAAAACAACGTGAAACTCACCCCAAACCAGCCTAACCCAGCCCTCTTGACCGGCTCTCACCCAAAACCAGCCGTCAACCAACCCGAGCCCAAACAAATTCAAGCAAGACACTCTAACCCTGCCCCAAGCCGGCACCAAGCCCACCCCAAACTGGCCCTTCTCCAACCCAAATCCAGCCTAAAAAACTCAAATCCGCCTTAAACGCAATCCAATCCAACCCGAAACCCACCCACAGAAAGCAAAATCAGCCGTGAACGAGCCTTAAACCATCCCAAAGCCTGCCTCAATTGTACTTACACTAAACCCACCCAAAAGCAAGACAAAGCCAACCACGAAGCAATCTGAACCCTAAATCAAGTCAAACCCAGTCGACCGAGTCTAAAATCGATCCTGAAACAGTACTAAACCAACCTGAAAAGAACCCTGAACCTGCCCTGCACCTGTCCTATGCCAAGCATCAGCCCAGCTGCCGACCCTAAACCAAAACAAAGACACACCCTGAACTCACTCCTTTAAACCAGCTCTAGGCCAACGCAACCGTAAACCAAGCACAAACCCAATGAGAGAGTTCCTTGGCTGCAGCTCCCGAATTTGCTCCCTTGGCGAGTGGCATTGCTTTGCCAGCCTCAGGCTTTATCTTTGGGGCCTCTCTTGCTTGATTGAGCGCCTGAGCAGAGAGAGTGCAGAGGGGTGAAGTATGTTGCGCTGCATCCATGGCAACTCTCTATGCACCACGTCCCGAAGCCGCCGATGTGAACTGAAAGTATGTTTGGAAGTCCCACATTCCCACAAAAGCAAGCCGTCACCCAATTTGTCCATGTCCTTGTTGAGAACGCGTGTTTTGCCCGGGGCTCATGTTTTTGACCATCTCGGTAAGGATCACATTGCCCCTCCAAAACAAAGGTGTACACTTTCCAGTTGTGGCACATTTGGTTCCAGCTTCACACTGACTGCGAGCTCAGGCAGCCCAAGCGTTGCAACAACATTTTAGTTCGGCCGCGTGAGTTGCCAGGCACCACCTGCAATTTGCGCCCCACTACGACATCTTCAGCCTGGACGAAGGACTCGGTTTCAGCGCATGGCACTCATTGGCAGCCCAAAGGTTATTTGGAGATGTTCAATTCCTGCGACGATCAACCCGCACTGTGCAGCGCTTTTGCTTGCTCGGCTTTTCTAGGCACGCAGCCTGGAGCTGTCCCCCACTTGAGTTTAGACTACCCCAGCCAGATGCTTCGCTTGGCCGTGTTTTTCCAAACGGGCGGCTCAAGTAGGGCGACACTAAGAGAGTCAACATGGCACACGGTGGGCAAAGCATGTAGGAGACGCAGATTAACGGCAAATCTAGTTATTGCTGTCATCTTGCAAGCTGCTAGAAACAACGACACCGATCCAATACATGCTATCAGCATCCAGTTTGCAGTGGGTGGGTGTTGGTAGAGGATGTTTCAACGTAAAAGGTTGGTTTTCTGTTTTGGGTCAGCGTCGTGCCTGCAGGCTCATGCCAGTTTCCGATTCTTCCAAGTTAGCCCCCGACCCTCAAGCCCATTTTTGCATTGGTGGGCTGGTTCCGTCTACGATGTCCCTTAATCGGTGGTTTGAATGGTTTGAGGATTCGAACTGATGAGAGTAACAAGACACCACCACCAATCCAACCCACCTCCACCAATCCAAGCTCCACCAATCCAATCCAATCCAAGCTCCACCAATCCAATTCGCCAAGAAAAACAGCGGCCGTCCTTCGCTCGCCAGGAGAGGACGACTCGCTTTGCGTGGCCTCGGGCTCCGAGCGCTTCTGCGCCAAGAGCCCAGAGGACGGCGAGGTGTCTGGAGGCGCTTCTCGGGGAGAAGCTCCGGCGACTTCCACGGCCCAAATGGGGTATGCACTCAAAATCAAACAGGAGGGGTTACGCTTGTGTTGGTCCATGTTTCCACTTACCAGGGATCCATTTTAGTACCGGTTGTTGGAGCCACGGCCAATTAAATGGGCCTTTGGTCTTCTGGGGACTGGTTCGGGGGGCTGTAGAAAAAAATACTTTTGTGCATGGGCCGGTTAAAGGCAGGAGCCTGAGAATAGGGGCGGAAGGAATTCCCGGAAGCGTGTTACAAACTGGCATGCCTCATTGGAAACCTATGCCCTGGAAAGTAGCTTACTTAGTTTGGAGCAAATGCTTCAAGCTGAACTCTTTGTGCCCTGGTGTTTGCAAAGGGCCAACCTCGGGGGGGCAGCTCTCCCCTGTACGTGCTATCAAACATGGTTATCACTTTAGGAATACTTCTCTGTCAGTGCGTCCTGCTTGACCTTGGACGTGCTGGACCGGCTCATTGCCTTACTCTGGGGATGGCTTTTGGCTATGCGGGCCAGTGGACCGTTTCTTTGTGATGTGAGAACTAGCCAATTTGATGGCCATGCGGACTTGCTGGAGGCCGGATATGCCGGCCCTCAAACATGGGAATCGAGTCATAGTCATCTCCGCATAGTCATCGGCCCTGTCCAGAAGAAGTCGTGAACGAAGACGTCCGCCAGCTCTGCATTTGGAACACCACCTCCAGGACGGAATTCTTCTGCGGAACATGTTTAAAGCAAGTTGGATGTCGGAAAGTGCCTATATGGGTGTGGGTCGAAATCCAGATGCCCGTTTTTGGGTAACCCCCCTTTTTGTTTAGTTCATTTTGAAAGGGAGTCTCGGGGGTAAGGGGGTACCAGGGTTTTGACCCACAGCCATTTGGGAGTGTTTCTGCACCGGTACGGTTTGCGAAGGAGGGAAAGGGAGGATGGTGCCTCATACTCCAGTCTGTACTGGTGGGCGCCTCAGACTGAAAAGGGAGTTTCTCTCAACATTGTGGACCCCTCGTGGTTGAAGCCAAACGGAAGCAAGCCATTTTTTGGATGGGACCTCTGTTATGAGCAGCAGCCAAAACAAGCAAAGTAGGCTACTTGAGATCATTGAACGCGAGAGCCATGCGATGTTTCGTTCTTCACCGAGAAGCTTGACACAAGTGTGACAGTCACTACGCTGCCAGCAGGTTTATTTTTTGGTGTTCAATGTTTGGTTCAGTGCCTCGGCTTTGTTTGGTGGGGAATTCTAGTGCGAGGGAGCAGAAATGTTGATCAGCCAGCAGATGCAAGCGCTGAGGCAGTACGTGGCTGACTTCAACCAGCGGTGTGGTATGCAGGAGAGCTCAAAAGCATGAAGCGCTGAGAAGTAATTGGGACTAGGATGCGAAGATAGAGAGCTGGGCATGTTCTGCCCGAACCTGCATCGCAATCTCCACGGTTGAATCCCCTCTCCACGAATTCAATCTTCAAACTGTGAAGGCGTTGGTCAATGATTCAAAAGCTAGGAAGTGGCGGCACTTTCAAAAAGGCAAGATGATCAACCTCAAATCACTTGGCATCCCGTCAACCCACATTTGCGCTATGCTTGGCCGGGATGGCTCTGTCGGCCTAAGGGGTTCAAACAACCGATGCACGGCCTCAGTCGGAGCCACAGCGCCAGGCCAGGGACGTAGCAAGGCGCTTCGGCGAGAAGCCCACGCCCCGGAGAGAAGCCAAGGGATCCACGAGGAATTTGAACGGAAACCAAAAAGGCAAACCGCGGGATGGGTATCCTGTTCGTTTGTGGCTGCGGGGCTTTGGCTTGTGACGTCTGGGTGCATTCTGCGCTTGCTGCCATGTTTTGGGGGAGTCACCTTGTTTTGTATGAGAGAGGTCAGTGTGTATGAGGCGTATGAGGGTACCGTTTTGTGGTTTAACGGGGAACCAAAAGGAAAGCCACGCATTTTGGGGGTCCCCCGGTTTTGACACACACCCAATGTATTGCAGTCAGGTGCTCTTTGGCGGTCATGGGCGACCTCGGTATCGACGCCTCAAGGGCCCACCCTGGCATGTGGGGTCGCTATATGTCCTCCCCTCCTGGAATATGGGCGTGTTTTTTTGAGGTTTCCCCTGTTTTGGTTGTTTTAAAACCACCGAGGGGTCCCCTAAAGAAAGACACACCCATATGTTTGCCTGTTTGAGGTCATTCCAGTTGACGTGGATTGGTGCCTTTGCCAAGATGAAAGTCCAGTTGATTCATGCTTGAGCGAGGGATGTGTTTTTCTTAAATTGGTACACATCCAATGGTCATCAAATGTTGGAAACTCAATCACACACACAAAGCGTTGTCGTCACAAAAACTAGCTCTGTTGACTGTGGGGGCAGGGATGGAAGAAAGTCTGCCTGTTTTTGCATTGTTGCATGCCCACGAAGCCCGCCATTTCCACGGCAGCGCTTGGCTCGATTGCATGAGAGCAATAGGCAAGTCCTCACAAACGGAGCCAGAGCGCTAGCATCAACTCAAGACCAGTGAGCATATCTTGGCATCTCCCAAATCCGAACTGAACTGCGTCATTAAGCGATGAAGAGCATTTTCCTGGATTATTACACATTGGCTTACAGCAAGCATTCCCGCGCCCTGCCCAAGGCGTGGCACTGATTTCAACACGGGGTGCTGAGCGTGCCGGGGCTTCAGGCTGTGGTGACTGGTCGACATGGCGGCGCACTCAGATCGTCTTCGCGGAGCTTTGTGGGCGTGATGTTGCATCGGAAAAGCTTGATGTTCGGGGCAGATGCGACATGATGCGGCAAGCCCATGAGGGAGGCACATGTCGTTGAACATCCTGCATCCGAGACGAAAAGGCCATTGTGTGTTGCTGGACGCTGCTTGAATCCAGCAGTGTAGGATCTGCGGTTCTGTCATGGCTGCGTTGACAAACTTTCTGCAGACGTTCCGCGGAGAGAGCTAGATGTTGAATTGCAAGTCCCGTTGACACTTGCATCGTGTTTGGTGATTGCTGGGTCGTGCTCCACCCCGCCAACAACAAGAGGGAAATCGGACTCGTCATTTCTGTTTGTGTTTTTCCCAGGCCCGGGCCTTTGGCAGTCTGAAGACGGAAGCTGGGTTGAAGGCGTATGGGCGCAGGGGGTCAGGCATGCGGATCAGTTGTTCCATCTTGCGCGTGTGTGTTGCTCGCGAGTAGACCCCCCGCCCCAGCCCCAGCTGTGATCACGGCATCGTATTTTACGTAAACGCTTGAGTCGGCCTTGCAAACGCATGGTTTGGCAGCTTCTAGGATTACAGATGCCTTGAAGTGATGCAACCGACTTGATGGGTGCACAGGAAGACCAGCGCTTGGAAAGAGCAAATCGCGAATTCATTGCTGCTTGTCTCTGTGGGCGAACAATCGACATCAATCCAGGTCACCTTCGCAAAACACTCCGCCTGGGGTTCCTTCCATGGTGCTCACTTCTTGCAGAGCGTCACAGGCCAACCATGATCAAAGCCGCCAGGAGATCAACAGCTACCTTGCCGCCGAGAGCTACGTGTGTGGTGGTGCTTGCGACCCAGCATCTCGATGGAGCATACACAACTAGGTCGAAATCAAACCCGCGCCCCGCGCCTTTTGTTATGTAATGGCACGTTCGTCAGCTTGTTTTGCAGGTCTGGAATACTGCACACCGAAAAGGAGGAACAAACAAGCCCTAGAAGCCATGAATGGATATATAAAGCCAAGCATTGTGCATATTAGACGAAGACACAACGTGTGGTTAGGTTGCATTGGGCACGGCGGCTGTTGGCTATCGGCTGACTATCGCTTTGACTATCCAGTTGGGCCCGTCAAATGTCTGACTCCAGAACCTTGGTGTGCAACAATTGTCCTCGTACTGCTCATGTCAGCACCTCAGGGCACATGTTGCCCCTCATCGCCCCGGAACATTGCAAGCTGGGAACGGAGGGACAACCAATTGATACCAACTGATACCAGGGTAGGTTACTTCCATTTGCTTAAGAATATGTTTTATTTTCCCTTGTTGGTTTCAAAAGTAAATTATCACTACTGGAGTGTTTATTTAGTTTTATTACTTTTTTCTTCCAGCGGTCTTAACCAAATGGAAGGTTGCCAGGGTTGTCCACGGGCTTTCACTGTTGCTCTGATCGAGGCCACTGCGACGCAGGAGGACTTTGACCTTGCGGCACAGGCGGCATGGGCTCGGTATGGGCTTGGCATGGGCTCGGCTTCCAGTGGATGCCTCAGGCACTTGAGGCGGATCTGTCGCGTGCAGTGGACACTGGAGGCCAGGGTTCTACTTGTTGACTACCCTAGGGTAGACTTAAACCCAGGGGTGGTTCATCCCCCCCAACAGGAGACCCCCTGGGTTTAAGTCTATCTTGGGTAGTCAAAAAGTGGAACTCTGCTGGAAGCAGCAATTTGTTTTCAACTCGGCTTGAACTGATTGCCCTCAGAGCTGAAGTATTTTTTTCAACACTCGCGACATGAGGCTGAAGCATTGGCCTGGAAGAGGGTTGCATGTTCACCTTCTTGCCTTTCGCACTGGCGTAGTCCTCGCATGTTTCTCCTTGGTTGCCTGAAAACCTTGGGATAGTGAACAGCCACCAAGGCACAGCGCCAGCAGATAACCCAACATGCTGTCCATCCGAACATGGCCAATTCAGAGAGGAAGTAAGTCACCCTCCTTTGGCGCGCTTTGCGCGTAAAGCCAACTTGTGCAGTGCTCGTTCGGTTGTTTCTCCAAACCAACCCAACCCCTTCAGGTTGGCTTCCGGTTGGTTTCCCCTCAAAACCATCCAAACTGGGGACCCCTAATTTGAGGCACACTCTCTCAATCCAAGAATTGCCCTCGGGCGGAAAGTGCCAGACCTCGAGCCACATCGACCCTGCGCAGTTCCCCCACGCGAGACGCCGCAACCTCGGGGTCGGCCGGGAAAGCGGGTTCCAATGGAAGGGTTTGGGCACTTTCTTTTTTTTTCACACTTGTTTTGAATCCTGGTTGCCTTCTGTTGCCCTGCCTGATTTTACCTTAGAGATGGGCCTTCGAGCTGAATCTTGGAGGCTGCACTCTGAAGCAACTTCCGAGCTTGCCAAAACCGCGCAGGATCATGATCAAACTGCACTCCCTGACTCGGCAACTATCCTGGCCGAGTGGTAGCTTTGCGTGATTCTTGACTTAGAAGCAAGGCATGTTAAGTGCTGGGCAGTGGCAGTAAGATGCGTTTTCAGGGCGAATGGTGGCAATAACCAGGTTGAACTCGCAAGAACCCGGTACTCCAGCCGCCAAAGCGGCGCTTCCCACGTATCCACACTGAGGCTGGTGCCAGCACATCCGGACTTTGAAGCTGCAGTTCCCTTTGAAGCAATGGCCTCGAGTCCCGACCTTGGCAATCCATGCGCGGCAGGGCCATGGAACGCTACGCAGCTTTGCCCCCCGGCTTGTGGAATTATGGTCACACTTGAGGCGGTCTGTCTAAACTCTTTGCCGAAACCTCATATTACCAAATCTCAAGTCGCCTTATTGGATGGGCCGCAATGAACCTACAGCACTGCTCCAGGATCTTCCTTCGGTGAACTCACACTAAGGCGGGAGCCAAGGGCCCAGAGAAGGGCGACAAGTCGGAGAAGGGCAAGGAGAGCGCCAAGGGAAGTGGGGAGGGGGAGGGGGGGAATTTGGGCCGCCTGTGCAGGTGGAGGTGTTGCGTGTTGCTCAGCAAGCATCACGAATCACGAACGGGGGGGGGGGGCGGGGCGGGGGATTCTTTTCAGGGGTGCACTGGTCGCCTGTCGCAAGGCAGTGAAGGTTCCCCATGTACGGCTGAGCAATCAAAACACGTGTAGGTGAAGGTTAGGGGGCAGTCCCAGCCAGAAATAAGTGCGCCCACTGATTTCCTTCCATGCATTTGGGTCCACAATTTTAGTACCAGGTTTTGGTTGCGCCTCAGCTCCACTTAGCAAGGCTATGATAGGCGTCTCACCCAGCCGTTCCGGGCCCCAACGCCAGGACCAGGCCAAGTTGGAAGGCTTGCTGCCTGGCGCGGAGATGGGCAAGGCCCGGAGTGTGGGGCTGGTAATATGGCATGGATCTTCAGACATGTACCATGTGTCCCCCAAGCTGATCACTTTTGAGGAGTACGCTGTGGGCACCTGCCCTGAATGTGGGCCTTCTCAGAGTCTTGCATGCTTCAAGTGAGCCACGCGCTATTGGACACCACGCAGCAATTTTGAAGGCCCTATAGCCATATTTGCTGTAGTAACCAAATCTGGACATGCCCACGCTGTACCATGTCCCCCTGCATACTCCGCGTGAGTCTGTGCAGGTTTGCACCCGCTTCCCGCCGGAGCCGAGCGGTTACCTGCACATTGGCCACGCCAAGGTGGGGGGAGAGTCGGAGACTGGGCGGTCAAAGGGGTCCGGGATCCTCCACGGCGCATGACTATTTGAAGATTTGTGCGTTATGATGGTTGGTGCTGATTTGTTTATCTCTGTAGTGAGTCCTTCGGCAGCACAAGCATCGCGAATCTTCAAACACCCTGTCTGATGAAACTTGGCTCGTCCATGCATTGGTGACGCGCATAGTTTTTGGCTGCTCATTGTTTTAACAACTCGTCTAAAGAAATCAGTACATTGTTCAGCAACCTTTTTTTAACCAATATCTGTTCATTATCTTCCTGTTTGCCAAGATGGGCATTGCGTTATTGGGAATAGGCGATCCGCAATCCGGATTCGCCTGTCTGGCCTTGACAGGCGGCCATGCTGAATAACCACTATGCGCGGCACTACAAGGCGATTCACGAGTTCGGCGTTGGTGGACCCTGTGTAGCGCTGACGTGCGTCGAGGGTTGCGTGGGGAAGGCTACGGAGCAGAAGCTGAGCCGGTGGAGTCCACGCTTTGTTAGGAGACAGAAACTGTGTGCTAGTGCCAACCTGACGGGTTCAGACACGCCCCCGTGCCAACGGCCCGGTGACAGAAAGCATGGCTACTGAGAAGATGCGTTTGAGAGTTAGCTTGCTGCAGGGCAAGCTGATCGTGCGCTTTGAC